ATATAGCTTCATTATACATTCAACACTATCTCTTGATAAGACACCAGAAGGGTTGAAACAAAATGTCTATTTTTGTAGTGATTTTATAACATATTTATGTTATAATTTTCGAATAAATAATTATATTTTCTCCACTCTGTATTGAGCACTCTTTAAGAATAGCATTTTTTTGGTTATTGGAAATTATTCTTATACATTAATCCTATACGCGTATATATATATATATATATATATATATATATATATATATATATGTGTGTGTGTGTGTGTGTGTGTGTGTGTGTGTGTGTGTGTGCATGGAAATATATATATATATATATATATATATATATATATATATATATGAACATATTTCATTGAATAATTTAACGTATTATGTCTATTAATTTTACACGCGTCTTTTCACCATTACAACAATTACAGTTACAATAAATTTGAATTTGCCCTACGCTTTTGAAGATGACTTCGGATGAGATCGATAGTACTTCGGTTAAAACTACGGCGACATCCTTGATGAATTTTATCTTAACAAATCTGGTTAGAGAACAAAAATGATTATTATAGAAATAGACATATATCTATATTATTCAATGAAACACATTTGAATGAAGATATCGTGCCTGAATATAAACACAGACAGACGCACACCCACACCTACATACATATATGTGTGTGTATATATATATATATATATATATATATATATATATATATATATATATATATATATATATTTATAAACTTTTTTTAAATAAATAATATATGTATTTATGTTATAAACTTTTTAAAATATATAATTATATATATATATATATATATATATATATATATATATATATATATATACATTTACAAAGTATATAATTGGTATATACGGAATGAATTCCAATAACCAACAATTACTATTCTTAAAAGAGTGCTCAATAGTAGAGCAGATATAATTATTATTTAAAAAAAATTATAAATAAGTATGTTATAAATCACTACAAAAAAAAAATAGCCATTTTGTTTCAACACACTCAGTGTCTTATCAAGTGATGATATTGAAGATAAAATAACATCACTTGATAAGACACTGAGTGTGTTGAAACAAAATAGCTATTTTGTAGTGATTTTATAACATACTTGTGTTATAATTTTTATAAATAATTATTATATATGTATATATATATATATATATATATATATATATATATATATATATATATATATGAATATATATATAAGTATGTATATATATATATATATATATATATATATATATGTGTGTGTGTGTAGCTGTGTGTGTATGCTGATTCCTTTTATAAGTCAGTATGCATGCAGAGAGAAAGTACATATACATGTGCAGGCTAACGAGGACACGTACGTACACGCAATACGCAAAAATGAAAATAGATTTGACAGTTGCAAAGGTAATGTAGGGATAGGAAGACATCTCTCATCAACGTATCTATCATCACAACCTCTCAGACGAAGCTAATGATTTCATTACCACTTAGGCATAAATTTACTTTTGCCAACAATCCAAAAAAGAAATCTAGGCTCACTACAAATACAGAAAATGAATAATGAAACATTAAAAGAACATTTATTCCTTCAGAAATTGAGCCCATTAATTTGCCTGAAGAAGGTCATGAGACCGGAAACCCGTGTAGCAATATATGAAGAATAAATAATAATATATATACTAAAACAAATTCACATTATAGCCACAAACGTTTGCCGTGTCTTTCTTTCTTTACTTTTTTTAAATGTGTTGTTCGTTGGAACAACTATCACCAATTTTTATATATATATATATATATATATATATATATATATATATATATATATACATGGCGCGGAGAAAACGAGAGAAAAGAGATATAGAAAAGTGAAGAAAGGTTATCATTTTCTAGAGACCATAAAAGTGAATTATATCGAAATGTTATCAATGTTTTTGTTTTAAATCCTATGATTTTGTCTGAATTGATATAAATCTGATTATCCTGCTAATAAGTTATTTGTTATTCTTGTTAAAATCGGAAGAATTATCCGTGAAATCAGGCAGTAATTATGTTTGGAATTGGTGCGTGTAATCTGTGGACAAACACGACTGAAACTCATTTTCAGCTCTCATGACACTGAACGGGGCACTAACATGATACGGATCGTCGACATTAGTCAATATGAATTTAGATTTTTCTCTGTATATTTCAATCACGTGGAGGTATATCCCAAGAGCGAATTAGAAATTTAAATTAAGAATCGAAAACAAACGACAACAACCCAAACAAATAAAATATCAATTAAATATGGTCTGAAAAAAATCTGTTCACACGTTTTTAAATTGATTATGTGGCCGCCATCTGAAATGTTTATTAATATTTCAGAGAGTTTCCTTGGTAATAATCGCATTTTTCTGTCAGTCGAGGGACTATCTAGATTTGATATTTGATATTTTATGTCCGTTATTCATTCAGGCCTCTTATGTTGTTTGGTTTGGTTGTTTTTTTTTTTAATTAAAAGAAAGAAAAGTTTGAATCCTAATGAATGATTTTTTTGTCATGGAAATATATATATATATATATATATATATATATATATATATATATATATATTATTTAACTGTTCTTAAAAAAGAATATAGTATAATAAAAATTAAAATGACAATATTTCAAATCGTAGTTAAATAAAAAAGTATTATGATCTGAACACCCCGGAAAATCTTTTTAAATTTATAAATGAAAAATGCCGTAAGAATTTTTTACCGTTAACAATAATTAAAAAAAAAAAAAATCCAGACGATATGCATTCAATGGATGTCAGTTTTCATTGAAAAATACATCCCTACCCTTACCAAATTGTAGCTAATAACTGATAATAACAGACTGAGATAGAGAGATGGATGGATAAATAAATTTAAATAAAAATAGATAGACATATATATATATATATATATATATATATATATATATATATATATATATATATATATATATATATAAAGGAAGAACAGTAAGATATATAATCCGGTGTTCTTATAGATATTTTTTATTTTTACAAAATAGTGCTCAATGTAAATTTACAGAGTATTAATATTATAAATTAATTGATTTTAAATATTTTTTTCGCTACACAGTTCTAACCATGTTTCAAAAATGGAAGCTGAAAGCTCCGAATTTAATTTTGTAATTAAATTAAAGACATTGGTTCCATTTCATCCTCAAAAATGGAACTATTTTCTTTAATTTACTTTGCACTAATTTTCAAACAAGTTACATTCTTTAGTCCCACCAGTTCAGACCTTCACAAATAAGAACCGTCATGTTTTATACAAGAGGGAAACTATCTTCATTCGATTCATATTTCTTTTGGTCAGCAAACGATTCCGTCCGAACAGTTTCTTCCTAAGAATCTTTACTTTATGAAATGGACAGAGTCCGACAATTGTTTGAATATATTTTTATGTCTATACGTTCTTTTTTATAGATAAAAATATTTAAGTAAATGTTCTGTTTATAATAAACAGTATTAACATAATTATTATTGTCTAAATTGTCATAGACGGTTCCGTATAGGAGACAGGTTCGATTCCTGTCGGAAGACGCATATTTTCTATGAAAATTTCTCAGATATTCAGGCCGATAAATGTTGTTAATGTTGTTTATTATAAACAGAGCATTTACTTAAATATTTGTATCTATAAAAAAGAATGTATAAAAATAAAAATGTCTTAACATAATTGTCTGACTTTGTCCATTTCATAACGTGTGACGTCATTTGTTTACATTAAGATACGCATCGAGCAGATATGAATGTACGAGTGAAAATCATGGAGAATTGTAGTTTAAAGACAGTAAAATCGACCTTGCTAACCGAAACGCGAAATCGGTAAAAGCACGTCAGGCTATATGACGGTTTCATATAGGGTACAGGTTCGATTCTTGTCGGAGTATGCATATTTTCTATGAAAATTTCTCGGACATTCAAGCCGGTAAATGTGGTTAATACTGTTTATTATAAACAGAGCATTTACTTAAATATTTGTATCTATAAAAAAGAGCGTATAAACATAAAAATGTCTTGAAATCTTTACTTTATGGAATGGACTACCCAGCGGATACTTATCCGACCCCAACTATCTTAACTTCTGCATGTCTAGTCTTAACCGTTATCCTACATATCTATTTAATTTACAATCACCCCGCTTGTTCTTAAAGCCATAAAACAAATACCCTACATCGAAATATACTTATGACCACTATTTAGTGAACAATGTCGTAAAAAAGAAAAAATATCTGGACTGTATATAATTGAAAAAACTTCTGCAGTAAACAAAAAAAAAAAGGTTAGGGGAAAATAAACTTTCGTCTTTCTCCGCATTATTACCCCACTGTCATAAAACATTGCACACAGGGGGGTCTAATTAGGTCTCCAAAACAAAACTGTGGCATTCGGATAATTAAACTATGCGAATGTGAAAAATGAATTTTTGCGGAGAAATAAATTTTCCGAGCGAGTGGGTCATTGATTAGTTAGGATACAAGATAAGATAGTTTAATACAAGCCGTCCCCGATTCTACATTGACAGATTTTTGCCATATTTTCTGGAATGTTTACCAGGTTTATATTTATAAATGCCATCTCACTGATATGGAGAACTAGTCTCCCATAAATATATTTAAAAAATGGTTTTCGAAAAGAATTGGTCAAAGAGTGAAATTATGAACGGAAAAGTTTATAAGGCAGAGCAGACTTTGTAAATAAAGTGCTTAAAATCAAATAATAGTGCATCGATACCAACAATTAAAATTAAATATTTAAATTTTCTTTCCTCTTTTGTAGTTTTACTGATATATTATCCAATCAAAAGGTGGTTTACTATTGAATGTCTAATGTTAATACAAAGATTTACAAATAAACCTTTCAGAAGATATTCATAGAAGTTAAATTTCAATAATTATACGCATGTGGACGGATTATTAATATTATTAGTATCCCTATGTATGTATGTATGTATGTATGTATCTATCTATCTATCTATCTATCTATCTCAGGCTGTTAATATCTATCTATCATCTATCTATCTATCTATCTATCTATCTATCTATCTCAGGTTGTTAATATCTATCTATCGTTTTACTTATTTATCTCATGCCGTAATCTATCTATCTATCTATCTATCTATCTATCTATCTATCTATCTATCTATCTATCACAGGTTGTTAATATCTATCTATCGTTTTATCTATCTATCTCAGGCTGCTAATATCTATCTATCTATCTATCTATCTATCTATCTATCTATCTAAGGCTGTTAATATCTATCTATCGATTTATCTATCTCAGACTGTTAATATTATCTATCTATCGATCGATCTCAAGCTGTTAGTATCTATCTATCTATCTATCTATCTATCTCAAGCTTTTAGTATCTATCTATCTATCTCAACATGTTAGCATCTATCTATCTATCTATCTATCTATCTATCTATCTCAAGCTTTTAGTATCTGTCTATCTATCTCTCTATCTATCTCAACATGTTAGAATCTATCTATCTATCTATCTATCTATCTATCTATCTATCTATCACTGTTCATATATATCTATATATCTTCAGTTCATATCTATTTTTAGATCTAGCTGTAAGTTCATGTTCTATCTATTTATCTATCTAACTGAATCTATGTATATATCTATCGATTTTGTTCATTAAATAGTAGGCACAAGAATCCCTCAATGTTGAGTATTATTGTATGTTTTTGTTGTATGGCCGTAGGAAGACGAGGTATTATTTTAAATTTGATAGTTATGTGGGATAGATAAAAGTTAAGGCTAGACATGCAGAGGTTAAGATTGATATGAATCAAATGATGATAGTTAACCCCTTGTATACAACATTGCTGTTCTTATTTTTGACAGTCTGAACTGGTGGAACTAAAGGATTTAACTTGTGTGAATATTAGTCATGCAAATAATGATAGTGTTGTAGCCTGTTTAGGGGCCAGAAAGAAAGACATGGAAGACGAAGGTAGGTTGAACAAGTGTATTGATATATATATATATATATATAATAGATATATATATATATATATATATATATACAAAGCAAAAGTGTTAGTAATAAGCAGATAGAAGTGTCTGAACAGTTGGGTTACACTGCGTCACGGCTGCTCATGATTCTACTACGACTATCTCCTAGGAAGTCTCGCGATTAGTATTTATGAGAGGAGGAAGAGTTCATTCTATTGTAGGAGGATTTGTCACAATAGATAGAGTAGTAATAGGGTATCAATATTTTCTTTAGTATCACTGGATAAGTGTTTGTTTGGGGAAAAATTCATCTCTCACACCTTATATAGACCTGATGAAGGACGCAGGGTACGTTCTAATAACAAAGGCAAAAATAAAGACAATTCAAATAGTGTAAACAATAAATCGTAATCACATAAAATCAGAGGACATATTTTTAACATTGATACGAATTGCAATGACGTTTTAAGAAAAGATGGAAGAGTCGGTTCCCTTTGATTTCGCCATGATTTTGTATCGTTAGATATATTCACTCAATGGAAACTTAAGGAACAATAATTGAACAATTAAACAAGAAGTGATATCCCGACAAATGGACTGAGGAAGGAGAACAAAAAACTATCACTAAGTTTGAATAAAAGGCTTGATTTCGAAAGTCCCAGTAGTCTATTCCATTAATAAATGCCTGACGAAGGCTAGAGATAACAAAAATCGGAACGTAGGAACAATTATCAAATAGAAATAATGTTTGAATAAAACGTTTGCGACAACACAAATTATGAATAAAGGAAGACTGTAAATTAAACAGAGTCTACCTTGATAACTCAAAAACGAAGCAATTGCGGAAATATGTTTATATAAATTTTTATCCTTGCGTGAGTAGCCCGTCCCCACAGTTGGAAAAATGAAGTAATCCAAATGGTCAACTTTATTCACCATACATGATTTCTAAAATTAAATATATATATATATATATATATATATATATATATATATATATATATACACACACACACACATATATATATATATATATATATATATATATATATATATATATATATATATACACACACACACACACACACACATATATATATATATATATATATATATATATATATATTATATATAGTTATACACAAACGCCCGGCATAGGGAAAGGTGATTTTATACGTATTTATTTTTTTCATAAACATATCAGTGACCTAGAGAACTCAATCCATGGAGAGTCTTGCATTATCAACAGGAATAATGACTGTTTACAAATTCACGCTTATCTCCCCTCGACCGTTGTAATTTTTTTTCTGGGGCTAATATCGTCTTCCACAGACAGAACGCTTCGCTGTATCCCAGCTCATCAGTGTGACAAGACATCCACCCGCTTCAAGCTGGGACCGAAGCCCAACCGATTTGACATCACTCGGAGGCTATCGACGCCCGGCAGAAAGAAAGGCGAATTTATGTAATAATATATATATATATTACTGGCGTCTTTATGAAAACATAAATTCGCCTTTCTCCAAAAAATATGATTCCAATATTTTCTATATATTTTCACATACACACACACACATATATATATATATATGTCTATATTTCTGAGATGAGGTATTATGTACATTATTTACATTATTCGGACTATTTTCCTCATCTTTGTCGCCATATTTATTACAACGTTTCGGCCGTTGTACGTTCCGTCCGGCCTTCTTTAGTTGGCTGGAATGTCAAACTGAAACCTTTATTTCGTTCGCTGGGTTAGACTGTTCTAGTTTCACGTACCATGTTTTAATGGATGTCAATTATCAGTTATCTCCTATTAAATTTCCCATTCTCCACTGCCTTAACCGAGTATTGAACTCACATTTTTTCAGAGGCAAGTTCGACATTCCAACCACCTGAAGAAAGCCAGAGCGTACAACTGCCGAAACTTTGTAATAAATATGGCGACAAAAATGAGGACAGTAGTTCGAATAAATATATAATATATATATATATATATATATATATATATATATATATATATATATACTTTCACCACTAGCAAGGCGGGAATGCCACTAGTACTAAAGTTACAGAAGGTGAAAGTGAGAGAAAACTCTGTGTATAGGGGGAATATGAAAGATAAAAGATGAATGTTGTTCAAGACGGCAGAAGATGGCGATTGACGGTGCATTTTTTTGAAGATTTTAGTTTTGCGGGTGGCGAGTAAGCGGAAGGGAGTTACACTATCGGGAAGTGCGAGGAAATAAGGTGTTGGAGTAGAAATGAAGGATACATTTAACTCTTTCAACAGTAAAATGGTAAAACCTAGATGCCAATCTAGTGAAACGCTTAAATTCGTGCAGTCGGGTCACCTGGGGAGATAGCTAGTCAGAGCAGTTTCCATGAAAATATTTGTAGAAAAGACAGAGGGAAGTCACGTCACGTCTGTGAGAAAGTGACTGAAGTGCAGATCGATTCCATTGCATGTTCTTTAGATTTTGTCAAGAACCTTGTGATAAATAGCAGGAGGACCAGATATGGCATCAGTATTCGATGCAGGGATGAAAGATAGATTTATAAATGTGCAAGATGGAATCTGACGAGAAAAACCTTATGGCGGGACACGGTGAACCAACTTTTCTTGCAGTAGAAGATTTAATGAAGCTCAATTCAAATTGATAACATAAGGGCAAGCAGGTGCAATGAAACTTTATGCAGGAGTTGAACATATGGAGAGAGACGGGCAGAGAGGAGTTTGTGTATAATGGTAATCTACTTAAAATACACGTCAAACAAGAGAGTAAAAAAAGAACTAAAAAAAAAAGATCGTAAACAAACAAATGATGAATTCCCAATGATAGTAACGCTGGTCTTTCCTAAAGAGTAACGGGTACAATACATAAAAACCTGTTGTAAAATCGCGATTGAATGTTTCACGCTTCAAGTTTTCTTTAGGCGTTATTTACAAAACGAAGAATTGCTTGAGGATCTGATGACTTCTGAAAGATTCAGTCACGATTTTAAAAAAACAAAAACGATTTGTATTTATTATGTTCTTCGACATTACTACAATGATACAAATTATCCTAAGGCCATCATTTGCACAATATCAGGAAAATATTGTTCTTAAAGAGGACATTTTAATAATTATATTAAGCGCTGTGATAATTAACATTTATTTAGGTGAAACTGTAAAAGACTGTTGGGGTTTGAGCGTTTGAGTGGTTCAACTACAAAGAAAATTGGTGGACTCAAGTTTAGTTCAACCAAAGATGAAAGGAAAACAGACAAACCAGACCGATATATATATATATATATATATATATATATATATATATAGATATATATATATATATATATATATATATATATATATATATATATATATATATATATATATACTGCGTACCAAATAATTATCGAGATAACATTTTTATAATATTCCAAAAACCGTCCCATCAATTCACACAAAATTTCACACAATGTTGGCAACACTGATCTACGCCAGCACTGAAATTTTGTACTGATTCAGCAATGTAAACAAACTGGTTTCCACATTTGTTATCAGCACGGTTTTTGAAATATTCGATAATAATTTGGCACGCAGTGTATATATATATATATATATATATATATATATATATATATATATATATATATATATATGTGTGTGTGTAATATACGGAAAATATTCATGAAAGAGTTATGATAAAAATAAAAAAGATAAAATGTTTGTAATTATTTATCAGACATGGCTACAAGGCAATTTGCTGCACACACACACACACAAAACACACACATATATATATATATATATATATATATATATATATAGAGAGAGAGAGAGAGAGATACAGGGGGTTCTCAAGTATAGGTAGGGTAATTTAAAAGAGTAACTCATATTTCTTAACTGGTAGGGTGTGAGGATCGTAACTTCACTCCCATTAGAATGTAAACTATATTAGCTACAAATCAGCCTGTGAAATTCTGTACATGTAACTAAAGAGTATAAGGAAAGAAAATGCTAATTAAAAAATAAAAGGAATCAGTCATATATATATATATATATATATATATATATATATATATATATATATATATATATATATATATTAAATAAAAACAGACCATTTTAAGGTTCCATGTAATAAATTATTTTACCACAGCCCTTTTAAAGGACTGAAGATCATCAGACTTTACTTCCAAAGTTTGAAACAAAAAATGAAAAGAAATTTACACAGTTTTGACGGGCCGTATTAAGCATATGTAAATTAACGAAGTGAGGAAGTGAGTGGGGGTGGAGAGAGAAGACATGAGTGAGTTAGATGTAATTTAATATTTCTATTCTTTTATAATTAAAATTACTTGAAGAGGTCCAGACATTGACACATTTAAACGATTAACATAACGGAAGTTATATATTGATATCGAAGGGGTAGAGATGAAAAACCACATAAAAAGAAAGAGAGAAGGAAGTCATGAGAGAAGGTGTCACTAATTTTCTTTGTCAAAAAAAAACCCAGCTAGAAAAAGACGTTATTTTTTTTTAATTTGAAAGTGTTATTTCGGGGGTTCATAAAGATTATAATGTTTGATATAAATTTGAATGTCTCTAAACTGTCTACAAAGAATTTAATTTGATGTTTGTTAGTGATTTAATTTTTTTTTTTTAAATTTTGGGGATTTTCTATGAAATAGTCGATTAGAAAAATATTCATAGAAAGTACATTAGAAAACTTTCATCCAATTTTCAGAAAGCATGAAGTCAACGGATGATTCGTGAAAACATAAAATATGTTTTGGCTTTAAATAACCCACAAATGGCTGATAATTCTTAAAAAACAAATCAAGTAAAGATGAAAATACGACGCGGATTACACTAATTGACATTGTATGCGGCGTTTTTCTACATTATCTCTCTATATTTCTGAGATGAGGCATTGCAATTATTTACACATATTTACATTATTCGGACTGTTCTCCTTATTTTCGTTTCGGCCGTTTTACGTTCCGGTTTTTTCAGGTGAGCCCTATATTTCATCTACCGGCGTAGATTGTTCTAGTTCCACGTTCCATGCCTCTTCCAGATGTCTCCGTTATCTCCTCTTACCTCAAATTTCCAACAATTTTGCTCACATCAACTATAGCCAGGTATTGAACTCAAAACTTTTCGGGCCAAGTCACTGGATTCAGTCAATAATTTTATCCACTAAGACATGGTCCTTGAGTTGTGAGTTCAATACATGTCTACAACAGGAGTTAACAAAAACTTACAGAATTGAAGGCAGATAAATGATGCTGAGACACACACACACACATATATATATATATATATATATATATATATATATATATATATATATTTTTTTTATGTTTATACTTTATTTTTATAGATACAAATATTTAAGTATCTATCTATCTATCTATCTGTTCAAATATATCTATCTCAGTATCTTTATATCTATCTCAGTGTGCTCGAATCTATCTATCTATCTATCTATCTATCTATCTCTATCTATCTATTCAAATATATATCTATCTATTTTTCATTCATAATATATCTCTATCTATTTCATTCATATCAATCAAATCTATTTCTCTATATATATATATATATATATATATATATATATATATATATATATATATATATATATATATAGAGAGAGAGAGAGTGTTACTAGCTAGTCCTGGTTGTGACGATAATCTACACTTAACAGCAGAGCCTATGATCAGGAAATTGAAGATTTTGAATTGATATTTTCCCAAGTCAATCCTGACCTGGTCGGTAGCACCCGCTAGAGTCCCTAATACTGGCAAATAGGGAAATAAAAATAAAACACTATGAAAATATAAAAATACATATTTCTAGAAAAAATATTTGTTTCTAGAAACAATACGATTTATAGCAAAATGGCCAACAATATATTTTGAAAGTGAAACGAGTATTTAATACATTTTATAGCAAAATGACCAACGATACATTTTTTCTATAGTTGACGACATACAACTAAGTTCAGAATCTATTTAGATGAAGCCATAAAATTGGGACCAAAATAGTTAGCTTATGACATTAAATAACCCATGGAGGTGTTGATATGCCGCTAAACGAAATCAACCATCCAAAATATATACTTACTAGTCACTTTATGAATTATTCTATTCTAGTTCTTTGTTGGAAAAAGCGTTACGTTTAGATTGTCTTAGCTTTTCTTTGGATGAATTCAACGATGTTCCGTAAAACCATATGACATCTCCAACCTTCCAGACAGGGCTTTTTGAATTTTCCTTTGTACCAGTGGCCAAATGTGCTCTATGGTAACTGTAGAAGCCGAATTAAGAAAGTGGATATATTGCTGTGTTCCATCAACAAATCCTCTTGATCCTGATTCATGAAAAGCTACGTTTCCCTACTGGTAGAGAGTACAAAAAGTTAGAGGCACAGCAGACTAAAATTAATGCATGTGGTCAGCCATATTACCTGGGCAGTTTGAAGAATTTAAACGATGTTTTACTGGTTCCAAGGCTCTCAATGCATGCCAAGAAACTATTCCCTATGATGGATCCATAATTCTTTTTTGATTACAGTAGATTCTGTTTTTGCGATCTAAATATCTCATTAGAAAATTGAAACTCATCAGTCTGGTCAACATTTTTCCAATCTTCTATCACCAATTTTTGGATCATTAGTGAATGTAGCGTCAGTTTCCTGATGCCTATAGTACACGGCAGCAGTATGACACGCAAAATGAAATCTCCACCAAAAGAGGATTAGATTGCAATCAAAATAGCCAAGGCCGCAGCGAGGAAAAGTAAGCCCTGTGCAAATAAAAACACAAACTTCTAAACAAGCCGAAGGCCCAATCAAGAGCCGTCCGCAGGAGCTAGCTTAAAGGCCGCCCGATAGGGCGGCTTTTAAGCAACTATATATATATTTATGATGAATTGGAATTATATATAGATAGAAACCTGACCCGACATAAAAGAACAAATAGGAAAACTGTTATGGGGTCCACCCCTTTTTCATATAAGTGGACTCGACCAGAGTGTTACTTGGACTGCTGCCGTTAAATACCCAGAGTCAGTCAGAATAGAGTGAGAGAGAGAGTGAGAGAAAGAGACAGAGATTGTGATTGAGTTGGAGGTAGAGTAATAGTGTGAGGTAACCGCTTGTAGAAGTCAGTTACAAGCACGTAGACTCTAAGGAAGTCCTACTTCGAGACTGTATATATATCTATATGTTATTGCTACTAACCGCGTTCCTGGATTTACTAACAGTATTACCCTTTGTATTATTGTGTAAACACTTTTAATTTCTTATCTTTAATTCCTGCGTTTGTCATTCATTGGAGACCGAATTTCCTCTCGGGATCCACAACAAAATCTTACCTATTTATCTCTCTCTCTCCCCCCCTCTCTCTCTCTCTCACTCTCACACACACACATATATTTCTTTTGTATATATATAATTATTATATATGCGCAGTACTTGTTGGAAAGCGCTCAATATCAGTGATAGATCTAACATACTTAATTGTACTGATGTGAGTTTGTGACCCTGGGTTTCAGGTACTTGCGATCGCAAGGCCTTGTTGAAGCATCTTCTGCTGCTGTAGATCACCCGCTTCAGGCGTCGACGAGTTGCGCATTCAGAGATTTTATTTACGTTGTAGAAAGGAGGCTATTTAAACTTTTGCACTTCGATCATCTTGAATCAGAATGTTAATTCTTCACCAACCTCTCTTGCGTGCCCTGTCGCCCCAGCAGATGAGATAATTAAGCGTCCTGGGTATGACGATAAACTATATACGGCAGCAAAGCCTCTATCAGCAGGTTTGAGGAGCGTGGAACCACCTCTTAATTGCTGATGTTCCCAGGTTAAACCTGACCGGGGTTGGTAGTACCTGTTAGGGGGCCCCAGCTATGGGCAAGTAGTTAGCCCCTAAACTGGGGTTAAAACACTATGAAAGTGTAAATATAAATTTTATTACCAGCAATATATATTTGGAAAAAATATTACCATCAATAAAAAAAATTTGTCGGCATTAAATAACCTATTGAGGCTGATATGCCGTAAAACCAAACAAACCTAAGCTTATCTTACCCAACCTCTTCCATCAAAAATGGATTTCCTACCACAGAATTGTGATTTAGGTTACAGTATTTGGCGGCATAGAAGGCGCACTTTATTCTTTAGTAAAAATATCTCTATATATTCCCCTGAACCTTATATGCTATACGTAGGTTTAAAATTCGCGATAGTCGGCTCGAATTAGCCATCTTGCAACTCCAGACCAAAATATTTAGCATATGATATTTAATAACCCATGGAAGTGTTGATATGCCGCTAGACTTACACTAACAGAAAGAATAAAAAGATCCAGCATTGCACAAGTCTGCGAATGGGTGAAGCAAACTTGGGATAATATTAGACCAGAGATTGTTGTGAAATCTTTTAAAAAGTATGGCATTAGCAATGCTCTCAATGAAATGAATGATGAAACATTATTTAACGACTATGATAATAGTAGTGAAAATGATTATCAGAGTTTTGATAAGAAAGACGATGAATTTTAAGGATTTGAAAAATGAATAAAATTTTAATGGTAACTTTACTGTTTTGCTCAATTGTAATAATTACTTGATTTTTATTTTGTTTTCGTAACTTTGGATATAATAAAGTTTTGTAGGCTCGTGTTTTTTTCTCCTATTATTTTTCATTTAAGTGTAATGATGGCTTGTTTAACCAAAATAATACCTCATAAATATAGCCTAGGCGGTACGATTCACAAATAAGTTTACTAATGGTACTAGTTGGTAATTTTTTCTGGGTTTTCCCTACTGAAATTGGGGTGCATCTTATACACCCGTGCGTCTTATATGTCATCATGTGTTGGTTGGTTGTAAACTGTAATAGTGATTGGGCATAAAAATACTAGTCGATCAGTAACATTTACAAATTAGTGTCCTTACTACGATCAAAGTCACTTAGAATATCATATTACACATACTAGTGCATCTGTCAGTCTACCATTTGTCCATGCTTAGAATATTGCTGTCAAATTTGGTCCGGTGCATCTGTTATTTTTCTGTAGCTCCTTGATAAGGTCCAAATAATAATCAGCAATATTATTAGTCTTGATCTAGTATCTCGGCTTCAGTCAGATAATTCTTAAAAAACGAATCAATCAATCAAATAAAAATGTTATCTAATAATATATATGCAAATATAATTTACTGTTTTACTTCACATTAAATATTTCGTTTCTCACATATTCTTTTCGTTGGAATCAGTATTTTTTCATGTTTGTTGCAAGCATTGAAGTAGTCAAATAACCATGTGTGAAAGGTTTAGACTTTTCCAAAGACTGTCCTAGAAGTTCTGGCAGTCTTAGCAAGACCTCATCTTCCGGCACCACCAATTTGGTCTAAACATTCTATGCGATTTATTTTAACCAGAAAAACCGCCATCTTGACATGGTTTCGACATGTCTCCCTGCCGTCTGTCTCTCTTGCATTTACCATTCACCCATGCTTAGAATATTGCTGCCATATACGCTTCTATGCCCCTGTTATTTTCCTGGAGATCTTTGATATGATCCAAAGAAGAATCAGGAAATATTATTGGTCTTGATTTAGTGGCTCGGCTTCAGTCACTTGCCCACCGACGTAAGGTTGCCACTCTACCTTTTTTTATAAATAATTTCATGGAAATTCTTCGAATGAGCTCTACTCTATCGTACCTAGAATGGATGAATTTAAGCGCAATATTAGACTGTCGGCAAGAACGCATCAATTTACAGTTGAGTTAGCTAGATGAGCCGTAAATTCTACGCTAACAGTTTCTTATCGTTCACTTCTCCCTTGTGGAACTCCCTTCCAGCTTCATATTTTCCAACCAACTTTAATCTGCAAAAGGTTAAATGTAATTACAATCTCCATCTCCTGTCCTTCTGAATAACTTTTCTGCTCATTATTAAAGTTTGTAATCCTAATTTTTCCACAACCTGTAACCCGTTGCGTACTAGTATCTGTACTGCCCTTCTTGGGTTGGTACCTATTAAAAAAAATCTAGAAAGCGTTTTAACATATATGCCCTGGTATTCCTGCAATTTACCTGGACCTCCTTGATAAGAATAATCAGCAATATTATTGGTCCTGATCTGACAGCTCGGCTTCAGTCACTTGCCCCCCTCTCTCTGTGTCTTTTCTTTTATAGATTCTTTTATAGAAATTTATTCGGATGAGTTCTACACTATGGTACCTTGATTGGATGAATTTAAGCGCAATACTGGACTGGTCGCGATAACGCATCAATTTATAGTTAAACTAGTGAGATGTAACCGTAAATTCTATTTTAACAGTTTCTTATCCCGCACTTCTCGCTTGTTGAACTCTCTTCCGTCCCAACGCTTTCTAAACAATTTTAAACTGCATAAATTTAAATGCAATGTCAATTGCAATCTACTGTCTTCCCGATTTGCTCTTTTCGATGTCTCCTCATTACTACTTCTATTCCTAATACGCCTACACCCTGTAACCTCTTTCGTACGAGTTCGTGTACTGACTTGTATGGGAGGGGAATATCGATTAAAAAGAAAAAAAAATGAAACGAAATGCAACAGATCACTATAAACTTGTTAAAATGCCTGTATCAATGAAATTGTCACCACGTCATTTACTGATTAAGAATTTTCATAAAGGAATATTCGTTCATGTGAACTTAATTAAGTGTTTAGTGAGTGCATACCCTCTTTAAGCAAACGTGTAATAATATAAGCAGATATCCAATAAAAACCCACACGCACACAAGTGAGCGGGCGCACACGCACACACACACGCACACACTGTTATATATATATATATATATATATATATATATATACACACACATATATATATATATATATATATATATATATATATAACAACAGGAAATGTGTTTTATCAACAAATATACGTTTCTTTTTATCAGATATTTCCGTGTCAATTCTATCTTGTGCTGATTTCACCTCAGATAGAGCAACACTTTCAATTTACCTAATGAACTACAGGTGATGAAATGTATTTCAAGAAAAAAAGAACACGAAGCCAACTTCCTTGTCTTCTTTTTATATATCGTCCTATCTCAATCATGTTCTCTCAATATATATATATATATATATATATATATATATATATATATATATATATTCTCTCAATATATATATATAAGTGTGTTTGTGTGTATGTGTATTAATTTTCTACCTATCTACTTATCTATTTATATATTATTCTGTCTATATCTATCTACACATTGAATTATCGATCTATTTCCTCAGACTATGTATCTAGCTATTTATATCTGTTAATCTCACTGTCTCTTTCTATCTCTTGTCCTCTCCCCCTCTCTCTCTCTCTCTCTCTCTCTCTCTCTCTCTCTATATATATATATATATATATATATATATACATGTAAGAATATGTCCCTTATATATGGATCACTCAATGTATTAGTTTATCTGTATCGGTTTGTTATAGTTTATCACTCCCTCTCAACATAACCTTCTAAGTCCTTTCATTATCTGTCTGTCTATCTATCTATTGTTTTCCATATCGACATACTTTATTTTATAAACTCGATGAAGGCGGGTGATACATTGTAGATATTTAAAGACTTTAAAATCCGAGGTAATTATTTGTTGGCAGAAGAATAGTAATTATTTTGGGGGGTAGAAGGAAGTTAATCATTCTTGTGTTGAAGGATGGTAATTATTTTTAGGTAGAAGGAAAGTCATTTTTAGTAGAATGAAGGTAATTATTTTGGACAGAAGGGAGCTAATTATTTTTGGCTAAAAGATTATTATTTCCGGTTGGGTGTTGTAATTATTTTAGTGTAGCATGAAGGTAATTATTTTTTGGGAAGAGGGAGGTAATTATTCTTATGTAGAAGGAAGGTAATTATTTTTAGTTTCTCATACTGCAATCTTAGCAGAATCATTGACCATTTCTTAATGTTCTTTGGTTAGTTTTTTGTGTTCTGTATTTAGATAATTGATCTAAAAGTTAGGAATTTTATCTATTCTTGGAGATTTCTATTTATGGGCTTTTTTCAGTGGACATTCAGCATCCTCTTCTGTGATTCCCGCCTATGTTTGTTCTGGATTATTCTTCATCCATTCTACCTTTTGCGTAATCCATTCTGCTTCTTTGTTATGTTCTTTAGGGCAAGCCTATATTTTTTTTCCCAGAACTGTATAAACTCTTCCGTTGTTCAAGGTGGGGAGTGTCACTTCAATTTCTTTGTAAAATTTCTTCGTTTTGGTTTGAAATATCTTTTCTGTCTGTAGAATCTTCATCTTTTTTCATAGCGCTTGATTCTTTGAGCCTTCAGTTCTAGTGTTTGCTTTATTTTTTATCTTTATCCGATAGGACTTCATTTTCATACCTAATTTTTTCTCTTCATTTTCTAGTCCTTACATTTGTTCCTCTTGCAAATTCATCAGTACTGATAATTCACTTCCAAGTTCTTTAAATTCTTTCAATATTTTCTTTTCCAAGATTTTTTTTTTACTTTGATATTTAATTCTTTAGTTGCTACTATAGATGTTTCATCTATTGCTTTGATGAAACTTATATGTGGGTTCACTTCATCCAGAATTAATTTGAATGTTGCATTGTAGAGTTTAATAGTTTTCAGGTTCTGCTTTGTTGGTTGTAATTTTGGGAGTTCCTCCATTTCAATATTTTTGTGTCTGACTGATATGCCTCATTATTTCTTACTTGGCTTTGTGTATACTATTCTTGTTTTCCGTAAAATGATGCGGTTCAATCTGTTTTTGACTTGTTTTATTTCAGGCTTATGAGCGACTAAAATCATGCCTTTCCAAGTCTTCTAAACTATTATTAATGACTAGCAGTAAAGCCCGGCATTGCCCGGGGTTTTATGTAGTTAAATTGCTTTGGGGTTTGAATTATTGAACTTACGCACGTATCCGCAGTTGTTGAGGTCACTGATAGGCCGGGAATCTCACTGGTAGCAAAATCGAAGGAGATCAAGGGCAACCGGTTGCAATAAGGGGCTGCTGTGTTGCTGCTCCGTGCTTACCCGAACACTGCCACCCGTTCATAATCGATCAAGATTTTTAGTTCTGGCAATATGAAATAGTGGTTGCGTTTTCACTGTAGGATCACCCCTTTACTATTAAGTGCATGAGTTTTCCGAGTTTTAGCGGAATACGCCGGTGATAATGTCAAGACTGTGAGTGTAATCCTGTCCGGGTAGGAGTTCACGCGTTATCTTAACCCATTTGGGGTTGCAGGTAAACGTTATAAATAAGTCTAGCCGCCAATATTGCCTAACGTATGTCATAGCGTCTTACGTGCCTCCATGTATGTAACGCGGTCCCCCAGTGTAGGTAGAGGGCAGAAAGCACAGCTTCTCTAGGTCGCCGGGATTGACTTCATTTCGAAGGCTGTCGCGTAAGTGTACGTAGGAGTCTGAGCACAGCTGTTTCTGGTGATTCTGTATAAAACAAAGCCTCTCCGATTCCATCTTAGCGACCATATCAACCGCAAACTGGTGGAAAAGCTCCCTGCATCTATGAAGCAGGTTGAAGTCTCCATCACTAACCATTAAACGGTATAAGTAGAAGGCATTGCACGGTAAGGCTTTGGAAGACGTTGTAGGTTGGCCACCTGGAGTATGAAGGGGAATGCCGAAGTGGTAGCCATCGTCACCATAAGGGAAAAGTAAAGGGTACTGCAATGCGTCATATGATCGATGGGTCTCTGAAATCCTGCGAAGAGCGCCGCCTCTTGATTTGAGGACAATATCGCGAGTTCGCTGTTGCTGCCCATGTATAATAGTGGCCATTTCGTTGCACGCAGGAGCATTATAGCGGCGTTCGTATTCATCATGAGGCCGTTTGTCGGCGTCAATTACAATGCTGAAGGAAGGAACTGGAGCATTTTCCAAAGCTTATTTGAAACTGCGAATGTAGCTGTTAACCTCGTGAAGCATGGGCCTGAAGTAGTAGTATGACGTCCCTGCAAGAAACTCTTCCCGACGGCGGCAAAATATCAATCCAGGTTTCGGCCTGTAGGTTGTAGTCTGCAATAAAGTACAGTTGAAGGAATTTAGGCGTAGAGGTCTCCTCAGACAGCAGAGACCCATTGTGGTTGTATACACGCCCCACTACTTCGAAAGTGGGAATCCGACCATCTTTAAACCCCCTGAAACCCAAATGAGGTCATTTGAAAGGAGTTGTTGCCTTGTCTGTTGGCCCGCGGAGTTTCTGGCAGCAGAAGTCGCTGTAGCATTGCGGGATTGCGGGTTGACCGCTGCAGAACTCTCACGGGCTCCCTCGACCTAGCTGTTACAGCAGCGTACCTAGATTGACGGGCGTTCCTGTGGTCAAATGTTTCAATTGCCCTCGACATGGCAGTGATTGCAGCATTCCTAGCATTTCGAACAGGCCTTCAGAGCACTGTCTCAGCATCCCTAGCAGTTACTGTTGCAACAGCGTCAATGGATTAACGTGCGCGCCTGCGGTCGAATGTTTCAGCTGCCCCCGACCTGGCAGTGCTGACAGCATTCGTAGATCTACGGGCGGTGTCTCAGCAGCCCTAGCGCTCGCTGTTGCAGCAGCGTCCCTGGATTGACGGGCGCGCCTGCAGTCAAGTGTCTCAACTGCTCTTGATTTCACAGCGGCAGCAGCGTTTCTTGTGTTATGAAGAAGGCTTTGATGATGAGTCTTGGAAGCCCGAAATGCAGAGGCGGTTGCTGCAGGCTGTGCGTTCATTCTGGACCGTTGTGCATTCTTGAGGCTTGATCGCAATGAAGTGCTGTAGGCAGCTTTCCTTGCTAAGCAGGTGGCACGCTCCTCTTGTGACTGCGAGGCTTGTGCGAGGGCAATGCGTTGATCGACCTGTAATAGTCGCATTGTAGTCTGCTCTTGGGACACGCGGGCCCTCATAGCGGACGCTCTTTCAGACCGAAGGCTAAGACGTACCTTCCTTTTTGGCGGCATGGGGAAAAGTGATGCTAGTAGTGGTTGATTAGTGTTGCTTAATTGCAGGAGTACAATGTCTAACTTCGTATCGCAAAGCGTGAATCAGAATCGGGAAGGCAGGTAATTAAGTAAAACAGCTGAAGAAATTGTTTATGGTAGTTGAAAAACGTAGTTAAACAGACGAATGGAAAACAAAAACGTAAGAAACAACTTGCGGTAGGAGAAAGGATCATTTGAAGGAGCCAATCGTATCAACCGGATGGCGGCGTAACAGAAGCAGAAGTGAGACATCGTCCTACAGCTGTGCACAGCAGGTTCAAATGCGAAGTTGCGAAAAACATCGCCAAATTCAGATAAACTCGATTTGAATGAGAAGTCAAAAGGGTTCTGATTTCATCGATTTTTATCCGATAATTGAATCCGATATTGAAAACTAAAGTCAGTACCTCAATATTGTCGGTAAATACTATGCTCAAGGGGAATTTTGCTGAAAATTCTTCGCCATTTGCGAAAAATATAGTCAAAAATCAGCTAGACTGGACATGTCCCAAAGCGACCGATTGTATGGATTTTTTCCAGTAATTGATATCGATATTGAAAATGAATGTCAGCCCCTTATCACTGTTGATAAAAAACAATGCTTAACGTAATTTTGGTGGACACATAGAGACACATACTAAAGGGCCGAAACGTTGTAATAAATATGGCGACAAAGATGAGGACAATATTCCGAATAATGTAAATAGTGTACATAATACCTCATCTCAGAAATATAGACAGATATTAGGGAAAGAGGTAAATAAATATATTTCCCAAGTTCATTTGTGCGTAAGTCAATATAACGAACCCGACTGTGGATCTCATTTATCTGATTCCCAATTTCCTCTTTTAATTTATTACACCACCCGCACATCCAACCTTACATCAGCTGGTATTCTTAAGCGGCCACCCATCAAGGTACTGACAACGCTTAACATTGTTAAATTTCGGTGATCGTAAGAGAAGCGGCGTTTCCAAGTGGATTTTTCATTTTCAGACAGTTTGTAAATAACTATTAGCAGTCGTCTCTAAACCTAAATGTCCTCTTCTGACTGAAGGTCTCCCAAGCATTTAAAGGTTTTTAGAGCGAATGATGGAATGTTAATGATGGTTCTTTTAATGTTGATCTTCATTGAATATACTAGTGTTGTTGGTCATTTGCGAAAATATAACCAAAAATTACCTTGACTGGGTTTGAATTAGAAGTTAAAAGTGGCATGATGTTATCGATTTTTTTCCGATAATTCATACCGATATTGAAGAAAAATGTCAGCACCTAATAACTGTTGATAAAACTAATAGTCAACATGAATTTCGTGAAAATTTCTTGCAGTTTGCGAAAAAAAGAGCCCAAAATCAGCTACATTGGATTTGAATCGGATGTCCCAAAGTGATCGATTTTTTTCCGATAACTGATATCAATTTTTAAAAACAAAGAACAACACCTCAAAACTATAAGTATGGATATTCCTCAACGTGTGTTTAGTGGATATCTCTTGTAATTTGTGAAAACTATCACTGAAAAACATGAATTTTTTTCGAATCAACATTCGACCCCCTATCGGTTTTATCGATTTTTTCCAAAATCGGAGGAACAAGCCAAACATCCGAAGACCGCATGTACGTAAGACTGTAAATTTCCGATCTGTGTGTGAATTTTCATGCCAATCGGACGAACGGTTTGCTCAGGATCAGGTAACAAGATGACAAACACACAGACACACTAACAGAATGCCATGTTTTCATTGAATTAGTCACTCTGATTTCACAATGAACTCTCTGGATTTCATCCTCCATGGGATTATCCATGAGGATTACCAAGATTTTCATTACTGAAAATATATATATATATATATATATATATATATATATATATATATAACTTTCACTTTACTATATAGTAATATATAAAATATTTTTATAAAATAGCTCAAGTGCTAAAGTTTAAAGATAAAATTCAGATGACGTTATAATTATGCACAGCAAAGGGGTGTATATATATATATATATATATATATATATATATATATATATATATATATATATGTGTGTGTGTGTGTGTGTGTATATATATTGATATGATATATGTATGCATATATATATATGTGTGTGTGTATATATATATATCTATTGATATATATATATAACTTATATATATATGCACATATATATATGTGTGTTTATACATATATATATATATATTGATATATATATATATAATTTATATATATGCATATATATACGTGTGTGTATATATGTATATTGATATATATATATAATTTATATATATGCACATATATATATGTGTGTGTATATATATATATATATATATATATATATATATATTGATATATATATATATATATAATTATATATATATATATATATATATATATATATATATATATATATATATATATATATATATAGTAGCAATGGATATTTTATTAATCCGAACCACCATCATTTCATTCCTATTCTATTGGTGAAATCTAATTTTGACTCGAACAACCGAATACCAAGAGAATGCTATACAATCTTACTTTATTCAAGTTTAGGGTTGACCTATCCCCCCCATATATCCCCATAAAATGAGCCTCTTACTCAATAACACTGTCCTACGAGTGGCTCTTTTCAGGGTGATAAATTATTGTTGAAAGGTTTTCCTTTTTATATTGTGTTTATATAGGTGGAACTTTTTCTTTTTAAATTGATATTGGTTTGTTGGAAGACCGACAAAACTTGTTACTTAAGTTCTTTTAATATAATTTGTTTTAGCTGATTTCTGAATCTACGTGGAGAAGAAGCGTATCAACAAAAACGATAACATGTCTCTCTTTGATGCGGAAAGGTGCAATAAAAAAAAGTCAAACATCATATCTAGCTTGAAATGAAGAGAGGATACTTAAAAAAAAAGAACAGCAAAGAAAATGACATCTACCTCCGCGTGAAACGTGGCTTTCGAAACTGAATAGAGAAGTCACCGTACCCTATCAAACTGAATAAAGAAATCACCGTACCCTATCAAACTGAATAAAAATTCACCGTACTCTAACAAACTGAATAATGAAATCGCTGTACCCTATAAAACTGAATAAAGACGTACTGTACCCTATCAGCACGAAAAACCCACCTTGATAATGCCTTACGAAAACCGAAAACACCCAGAAGACACCGAAGAATATATATTTCACAGAAACAATAAAAATAAACCAACCCGCCTCTTCCTAATCATCATCATTAGTCGTAAGACAGGGTGTGGTCCTAGGGTCCTTATTTACCTGAACACATGGCTTGTTCTGTCCCGTATCGAGATTGAAAGCCTTTGATGTATTCCTTAATTCTCCAAATTAAGACACAGCTGATGTTCTCCGACATTGTCGTTGTTGATTCTTTGTGAGAACAGACATTTCTGGACGTTGAATTCAATGTAGGAAGGCCTCTATCCAATGCGCCATTACTGCACATGCTTTATACATAGCTTGGGAACCCTGTACAGTCTACTGTGCTAGATGGCCCTTGACCGAGCAAGAAGATTCGAAGATAAATATTTAAATAAAAGCGAAAACGAAGATAATCTTCGACAAACATACTGCCTTAACCGGGTATTGAACTCACACTCTTTGCGTCTTGTCACTGGATCTAACTAACGCCTTTATCAGCTGTACCATGTGACCTTGAGGATATGGCATGTAGAACTAGAACAGTCTACACTATGTGAGCGAAACGAAGGATTTAGTACGACATTCCAACTACGTGAAGAAGTCCGGAGCGTACAACGGCCGAAACATTGTAATGATAAATATGGCGATAAAGATGAGGACAGTAGTCCGAATAATGTAAATAGTGTACATAATATCTCATCTCAGAAATATAGTCAGATACTGAAAGGCCTAGACCTTGTAATAAATATGGCGACAAAGATGAGGACAATAGTCCGAATAATGTAAATAGTGTACACAATACCTCATCTCAGAAATAGAGACACATACTAAAGGGCCGAAACGTTGTAATAAATATGGCGACAAAGATGAGGACAATATTCCGAATAATGTAAATAGTGTACATAATACCTCATCTCAGAAATATAGACAGATATTAGGGAAAGAGGTAAATAAATATATTTCCCAAGTTCATTTGTGCGTAAGTCAATATAACGAACCCGACTGTGGATCTCATTTATCTGATTCCCAATTTCCTCTTTTAATTTATTACACCACCCGCACATCCAACCTTACATCAGCTGGTATTCTTAAGCGGCCACCCATCAAAGGTACTGACAACGCTTAACATTGTTAAATTTCGGTGATCGTAAGAGAAGCGGCGTTTCCAAGTGGATTTTTCATTTTCAGACAGTTTGTAAATAACTATTAGCAGTCGTCTCTAAACCTAAATGTCCTCTTCTGACTGAAGGTTTCCCAAGCATTTAAAGGTTTTTAGAGCGAATGATGGAATGTTAATGATGGTTCTTTTAATGTTGATCTTCATTGAATATACTAGTGTTGTTGGTCGAATGTCTATGGATATTATTATTATACTTGGTTTGGTTTACATCGATTGCATGCTGAGAAACTGTCACACGAAGTTGCTTACAGACTTTATTCTTGGGATGAGAAATGTCTAAGATTCAAACAATATCTTAAAGTTAAAATAAATCTGGAAAAGTCGTTTAAAAATTAGTAATCTGTTTGGTGCTGAGGATGGATGCGTGGCTCTAAATGATTATAGTAATCACCATTCAAACTTAAACTAGCAAGTTTATCAACCTTTTATATGTTATTTAAAGCCAGAAAATATTTTTAGATTGTAAGAATCTTGGGGTGGGGGTCTAATAATAATTTGTTATACAAGTCCTACTATTTAACCCATAGTAGAGGAACAGGGGTGGATAAAAATATTTCCCAAATACATTTGTGCGTAAATAAATATAACGAACCCGACTCTGGATTCCGGTTACTTGCTTTCCAATTTCGAGCTTTTATTTATTACACCACCCGCACATCCAAGCTTACAGCAGCTGGTATTCTTAATCGGCCACCTATCTAGGTATTGACAACGCTCAACATTGTTAAATTACGGTGATCTTAAGAGAGGCGGCATTTCCATGTGGATTTCTTATTTTCAGTTTGTAAATAACTATTAGCAGTCGTCTCCAAACTTAAATGTCCTCTGCTGACTGAAGGTCTTCCAAGCATTTAAAGGTTTTTAGAGAGAATGATGGAATGCTATTGATAGGTCTTTTAATGTTGATG